CCAGTTGACACTTTTTACATTTATAGCACATTTGCTTGGCAAGTCACGAGCAAGAGTAAAATTGCTGTGACAAGTCTACAGCAAGAGCCCTGCAAGTCTTCAGCAAGAGCACAGTTGCAGTGGCAAGTTTAAGAATAAAATATATTCTTAATAAAATATAAGAATAAAATATAAGAATAAAATATATTTTATACAATTGTGCACGTTCTATGTAAATCTGAAAATCAAATGCAAATTTTATGCCATTACTGACATGGATAAATTAATCTTACTTTTGTTAAATGTGGAAAAAACTGCAAACCTCAATAGTGCATTAAGAAAAAAGTGATCAACATAAAAATATTAATTAAAATATTTTAATAAAATCAATACATAAAGCATTACATCTTACAAACAGTTACATTTTTATTAGGTTGAACGTTTGCCAAACATGTAAAAGAATTACTAAACATATAACTACAACGATAACAGTCAAAGAATAATTACATTTTTCAAGACAAACAAAATATATAATTGGTATCTGTTCTATGGGCTTGGATCTGGAGCTGGCCTGTGAAAATAAAAACAATTATTAGTAAGCATCGAAAAAAAAATTTCTAGAGAGAAACAGTACTAACTATATGATAAACAGACATATATCCATATGTGATGAAATAACGTGCCTTTAGAGAGAACCTCTCACTTCAGAAATATATTCAATCGAGGATTAAATACTAATATTCGAAATGTCAACAAATAAGAACCGTATTTCATAGGTCTTTTGCATTCTGAAAATTATCTATCTTTAATACTAAAAAAATATATCAACTAATAAAGAATCTGAAAACACTTCAACCTAATGTTGCACTAAAATAACTGCTCACTTAAATTAATGTACACATCATTGACGTATTCCAATAAATCATACAACTCATAAGGTTTTAAATATACAACTGTGTTAAAGAGGCACATTGAGTCCAACTGTAAAAGGATACACCTCAATTTAAGAGATTACCAGTTTGTTTTTCAGAGATTTGCTTGTTTTCAAAGCATCTACCAATTTTTGAAAGTCCAAAGACTTCATGGCCAGAAGACTAAAAACTGATGTCATCTTCTGTGATGCTTTTGTGTAATGTCTCTTTAATTGGAACTCAACTGCAGAAACAATAAGTTTCACCTCCTTTATTTTATTGAAGTGAACAAGGTAGACTGTATCTTTAAATACACATGCAAGGAAAAAATGCAATGCTTATTTGTCAACAGAGAGTTTAGAGAAATTAAATACTATAATAATTGATATGACTTGCTTCCTTGACAAGAGATTTACTTAACTTAGAAGCACTCTGGCACTGGAATGGTTAATTCACCCAATGGAGGAAAAGGAAGGAGTCTCTTTTAACAAACTGCAGTTTAGTAGTGAGAGAAAGGAAGTCCGTTTGTCCAAGCCGAGGTCTGAGAGAGGAGAAGGTAGAAATCCGTTTACAAGCCGAGGTCTGGGGGATGAGAAGGTAGAAATCCGTTTACAAGCCGAGGTCTGGGGGATGAGAAGGTAGAAATCCGTTTACAAGCCGAGGTCTGAGAGATGAGAAGGTAGAAATCCGTTTACAAGCCGAGGTCTGAGAGATGAGAAGGTAGAAATCCGTTTACAACCCGAGGTCTGAGGGATGAGAAGGTAGAAATCCGTTTACAAGCCGAGGTCTGGGGGATGAGAAGGTAGAAATCCGTTTACAAGCCGAGGTCTGAGAGATGAGAAGGTAGAAATCCGTTTACAAGCCGAGGTCTGAGGGATGAGAAGGTAGAAATCCGTTTACAACCCAAAGTCTGAGAGAGGAGCCGGTAGCATCGAGTGGGGCAGCTGATCTTACTGCCGCACCTGAGTGTATAATCCAGCCCTTTGAATCTGGCGCGGTCTTCCTAAGTATCGTGGAAAGACCGCGTCAGAAAAAAGGGCGGAGCTAAGCGCAGTGAACCCGGAAGTGGGTTCCGGCGGCAGCATGAATGTTAGGTATACCTGACAGTACCCCCTTCTCATGGGGCATCCTCTGGGTGCACTTATTTCGGTTTAAAGGGGTAGCATTTGTGAAAAGCATCAATTAATCTCTTTGCATGAACATTAGATGAATCTTCCCAGGTATCTTCATCAACTCCATAACCTTTCCATCTGATAAGGTATTGTAAAGAGCCACGGTGGATACGAGAATCCAAAATCTTATGAATTTCATATTCTTCTTCACCTTGGACGATGATAGGTTCAGGAGTTGTTACTATTTCTCTATGGAAAGGATCAGGGATGTGTGGCTTAAGCAAAGAGACATGGAATACTGGATGAAGTTGAAAACTTGGAGGAAGTTTTAATTTAACAACGTTATCATTGATGATTGTAGTTATTTGAAAAGGACCAAGAAAAAGTGAGCTCAATTTCTTTGAAGGACGGTTTGTGGTAATATTTTTTGAAGAGAGCCAGACAAGATCCCCCACTTTATAAGGAGGGGGAATTATTCTTTTATGGTCAAAAAACTTTTTCTGGTAGTTTTGGGCGAGTTGAAGATTCTCCCGTAATTTAAGGAATAGAGAAGACATAAATTCATTTTTTGAAGTAACCGTGGGATTGGATGAAGAATTAGATGGGATGGGAAATGAGGACGGATGAAATCCATAGTTGGAGAAAAAAGGAGTCATTTTCGTACTAGAATGAATGGTATTATTGTAAGAAATTTCAGCCATAGGTAACCAAGTGGTCCAGTCATCTTGCAGGTATGAACAATAACATCGGAGATATTGTTCCAAACATTGATTAACTCTCTCTGTTTGCCCATTAGTCTGGGGATGATAGGCAGAAGAGAGTTTGCGTTGAATTTGAAGAGAGAGACACATCTCTTTCCAGAATTTGGAGGTAAATTGTGTCCCCCTATCAGAAATAATTTCTTCTGGAAGACCATGAAGCTTTACAATATTATCAATAAAGACTTTGGACAATTCTACGGAGGAGGGTAATTTTTTTAAAGAGATGAAATGGGACATTTTAGTGAAGCGGTCCACAACAACAAGAATAGTGGTGAACTGTCGGGATGGAGGAAGGTCAACAAGAAAATCCATAGAAATGGATTGCCAAGGTTTTTATGGAATAGGTAAGTTAAGTAGTAATCCAAAAGGTTGATTATGTTCAGATTTGGACCTTATCTTGGCGAGGCCACCAATAATATCGTGAAGTTAGTTCAAGAGTTTTCTTTATTCCAGGATGTCCAGCTAGGGGTGAATCATGAACCATTTTGAGTAATTTGTTCCTAAGAATGGGAGGAATATAAATCCTATTTTTAAAGTAAAATATACCATCCTTTTTTGTTAAATTAGGTGTTTTGGGAAGTTCAAGATCCTTTTGATTCAAGTTCCTTAAGTCATCCTGAAGAGAAGAGAGGATCCCTATTATTTTGTTAGGAGGATAAACATCAATAGAAGTTTTAGAAGGAATTCGAGAAAGAGCGTCAGCCTTTTTATTTCTAGTTCCAGGTCTGTATATTAATTGGAAGTTAAACCGGTTAAAAAATAGGTTCCATCTAACTTGTCTAGCCGTAAGGGTTTTATTAGTATAAAGATATTCAAGATTTTTATGGTCTGTATAGACTATGATAGGTTGTTTTGTATCTTCTAATAGATGGCACCAATTTTCAAAGGCAGCTTTAACACTTAATAATTCCTTTTCACCAATAGGATAATTTTTTTCAGCAGAGCTCAAGGATCTTGAAAAGAATGCGACTGGATGAAGTGGATCTTGAGGAGTCTTTTGCTGAGAAAGAACTGCTCTGATAGCTGAATCTGATGCATCGACTTCTAGGACATACAAGAATGTTGGATTAGGTAGCTGTAGAATAGGTGCAGTTGTAAATCTTTTTTTTAAACTATCGAAGGCAGCTTGTGCATTTTTATTCCATTTGAAAGGACGTTTAGTACTGTTAAGGTGGTTAAGTGGATGTGATACCTCTGAGTAGTTTCTAATGAATTTTCTATAGAAGTTTGCAAATCCAAGAAATCGTTGCAATTCTTTTGTAGTAGTAGGAACGGGCCAGTTAATAATACATTCTATTTTAGAGTTATCCATTTTCAGAGAATGAGGTGAAATAATGTATCCAAGAAAGGAGAGTTCAGTAACTTCAAAAATACATTTCTCTGGTTTAGCGTATAATTTGTGAGTTCTCAATCTAGATAGAACCCATCTTACATGCTTCCTATGCTCATCCAAATTGTTAGAATATATTAGAATATCATCTAAGTAGATAATAACACAAACATCCAAAAGATCTCTAAAGATATCATTTATAAAATGTTGGAATGTTGCAGGGGCATTACAAAGCCCAAAAGGCATCACTAGATATTCGTAGAGACCATATCTAGTCCGGAAGGCGGTCTTCCATTCATCATCCTGTTTTATTCTGATGAGGTTATATGCGCCTCGGAGGTCGAGTTTAGTGAATATAGTTGCGGTTCTTAACCTTTCAATTAATTCATTTATTAGTGGAAGAGGATAACGATTTTTTATGGTTATTTTATTTAAGGCTCTGTAATCTATAATGGGTCGGATGGTTTGGTCCTTATTCCTCACAAAAAATATACTAGAGGCAGCCGGTGAAGTCGAGGGTCTGATGAATCCTTTACGTAAATTTTCATTAAGATATTCTTTTAAGGTCTGTAATTCCTTTTCAGAAAGTGGATAAATGTGTCTATAAGGAATGGGAGCACCAGGTATTAGATCTATTTGGCAATCATATGCTCGATGAGGTGGAAGTGTTTCCGCTTCTTTTTTACAAAAGACATCTGAAAAGTCAGAGTAGAATGGAGGTATAATTGATTCCTGAGTAGTTTGGAGAATAGGAATATGTTGGAAGCAGGTTTTTTTTTGCAAAAGTCAGAAGGAAAAGAAATGGAAAAGGGTGACCATTTAATTAAAGGATCATGAGTTTTTAACCAATTAATTCCTAGAATGACGGGATAAAGTGGAGATTTAATAACATCAAATGTAAGGAACTCTGTGTGTACGTTATTGGTAATCATTCTTAGAGGAATTGTCTCATCTTTTATGGGTCCTGAGGATATGAATGAACCATCAATAACTCTGATTGGAATAAAATTGGTTTTTCGAACACACGGAATTTTATTCTTTGCAACAAAAGAAAAATCAAGGAAGGTTCCATTAGCACCAGAATCAATAATGGCTTCAGTCACGATTCTTTTTGTATCCCACTGTAATATGAGAGATATAGAAAAATAAGTAGATGTTTTCTTTTTGTGAAGAACGTTCAATATAGAAGTAGATGAATGAAGCTTACCAGCTTTCGAATGGATTAGTAGGGGACATTCTGGGATTAGATGTTCTTTTGAAGCACAATACATGCACAAATTTAGTTGTCTCCTTCTTATCCTTTCTTCCGAAGTAAGAGGGCTTCTTATTATACCAACTTCCATAGGTTCATTGTGAGGAAGAGATTTTTCAGGAAATTTTGGAGTAGTAAAATGTTTTCTCCAGTTAGACGTAGTAAGAACTTTTTCAGCCCTTCTTTCTCTTAGACGTCTGTCAATACTAATGGAAAGTTGAATCAAGGCATTTAAGGTGGGAGGAAGTTCAATACGAGAGAGTTCATCTTTCACAGCTTCTGATAATCCGAGACGGTATTGATTGCGTAGTGTGATGTCATTCCATTGGGTTTCGGGAGCCCATCTTTTAAATTCGGCGATGTAATCTTCAACAGGTCTGTTCTTTTGGTGGAGAGTTCTGATGGTTAAATCAGCAGTAGCCTGTTTATATGGATCTTCATATAATAAAGACATAGCTTCAAAAAATTCATCCAGTGAATCTAGTATGGGATCATCATTCTCTAAAAAGGAATGGGCCCAAGCCATAGGTTCACCTCTTAGAAAGGAAATTACTGAACAAACTTTTGACCTTTCAGTGAGGTAAGATCGAGGTTTCAAAGCTATCAGAAGTTTGCAAGAATTTAAAAACTCTCTGTACTTTGTTCTATCTCCATAAAATTTTTCTGGATTACAGACAGCAGGATCACCAGCCGATTGAAGAGCGGCATGAGGAAGATGGCCTTGCATGTCTCTAACATAGGTTAATATTCTCTCATTTGTAATTTGCAATTCCTGTAACCCTTGAGCAATTGTATCTACTCTATTGGTTAGGGCAGAAACTTGAGAGTTAATATCTGCTGGTTCCATTGAATGGGCTGGATTATTCTGTGATGCTTTTGTGTAATGTCTCTTTAATTGGAACTCAACTGCAGAAACAATAAGTTTCACCTCCTTTATTTTATTGAAGTGAACAAGGTAGACTGTATCTTTAAATACACATGCAAGGAAAAAATGCAATGCTTATTTGTCAACAGAGAGTTTAGAGAAATTAAATACTATAATAATTGATATGACTTGCTTTCCTTGACAAGAGATTTACTTAACTTAGAAGCACTCTGGCACTGGAAGGGTTAATTCACCCAATGGAGGAAAAGGAAGGAGTCTCTTTTAACAAACTGCAGTTTAGTAGTGAGAGAAAGGAAGTCCGTTTGTCCAAGCCGAGGTCTGGGGGATGAGAAGGTAGAAATCCGTTTACAAGCCGAGGTCTGGGGGATGAGAAGGTAGAAATCCGTTTACAAGCCGAGGTCTGAGGGATGAGAAGGTAGAAATCCGTTTACCACCTGAGGTCTGAGAGAGGAGCCGGTAGCATCGAGTGGGGCAGCTGATCTTACTGCCGCACCTGAGTGTATAATCCAGCCCTTTGAATCTGGCGCGGTCTTCCTAAGTATCGTGGAAAGACCGCGTCAGAAAAAAGGGCGGAGCTAAGCGCCGTGAACCCGGAAGTGGGTTCCGGCGGCAGCATGAATGTTAGGTATACCTGACATCATCTTCTGCTATAGGTACTTGTATTTGTGCTCTGGCGTCAAATCTTTACTCTATTTTTTCAAGTCTTCCAGTTATGTCTGCCGTCCACTGCAGAACAGCTGCCCATTTTCTATTCTCTCTTACTGGAGCTGGAAATAAAAAAAGACAGGAATCAGTAAGATTCAGACATTACCGAGAGCAACTTTAAATGCCCTGTTGTAATTATTGAGCACTCTCCATTTGACCATGTCAGAAAGTGACAACTAAACTATGGTTTCCTCCTTTTATTCAGCATACAAATTATGCAAACTACCTCAAATTTCTACTTCAACACAAAAGTAGATTCATCGAAGAGCTATTTTTTTTTTTAGTTTTAGCCTTAGATCAAGGTAAAACAATGTACAGCAAGCATATTGGAACCAAATGAAGAGTACATGATCTTTTGCAAGCAGTGTGGAAATGAAGCAGACAATATAACTTATTTAAAATAATAAAACATGAACACAAAAAAATATACATTGCAAAAAAAAAAAAAGAAATGTGTTAGACAAACCTGAATAATAGGAAATGTGCTGCAAGTCTTCTTGAACGGAAGAATAGTGTGAAACTCTACTAGATGCAGCAGAATCGAAAAGAATGATAGTTGGAGGACTTCGAAGAATGCAGAGATTTTGTAACGGACGACTCATGTTGGAAAGGTGTAAAGCAGGATTTAGAAATATCTGTTAAAGTGTGTGTAAGGGGTGCATTATTAGAGGGGCAATGTGTAGTTGAAACAAGCTGGGCTGATTGGGGGAAGTTAGTTGGTGAAGAAACTTATGGAACATTAGAAAAAATAGCTGAGGAAGGAAAAGGTAACTGAGAATAAAGGAGCTGATGCAGCAACTGGTACATGAAAGGACTCAGGCTGAGGGAAAGGTGGTAGCACAGATGATCGTTGTTGTACGGATGGACACCTTGTTACACGGTTTTGTATTTGTTTCTGCTATGTCAGATCCTTCATCACCAGCCTCTTCTCCAGGAAGCAACACAGTTGCTTTTTTGATTTTCCTTCTAGGTCACTGAGGTCAGGTTCAGGGTCCAAGCCTGAGGTTTCCTCTGATTTTTTAAGATTACTTCTGGCCAAAGCAAATGTAGCTGGAAATGCACAAAGACAAAGAAAATAAATATTAAATATATATATATATACACACACATACATACACACACACACAAAAGAAGTATACTGTAGGACATAAACTAGAAGAAAATGACTAGCAGGTTTATTGTATTCCTATACAAAAGAGTAGATACTCACAATAACATGCACTTTGCAGATTGCCCACTTGTATGCTGTTCTGTGGACTCACGTCATCCTTAATGAGGCGTCCTCTCATTTGGTCAGTTTTAGACTCTGGATAGTAACATGTAGAGTAATCAGTCGCCAGCCATGAAAGTAGAATAATGCCTGGAGCATCATCTTCATCTATAAATTTGACGATTGCAAATGCATTTGCTTCTGCCACATACAACTTTCACAGAAAAGATTATAACTCACTCTTATGAAAAAAAATAAGATAAAGTATACACAAAATAAATGATGAAAGTAATTTTATATAGCATGTACCCTTGCCTTCATTAAAAATGCATTTAAGAAATGAATGAAATTACATAAACTGGATAGATTAATAAAACCTGCAGATTAGCCACTTCCATGCCATGTAATGGAAGGGGTTAATGCCCCCAGAGTGTCAGGCGTGTATTTTAAACACAGGACAACCCCTTAATTGAAATGCGTCCTTCCATGTTTCCAGTCAGGCCCTGCCCCACCAGCCGTGTTGATTCTTAATGAGGCGAAGGATCTCTTCCCTTCACCTCAGCCGGACGGCTGGAGACCATACAGTGCAGCCTTATTGTGGCCAAAGGCAGGCGAAATACTGCGGCCAAAGGCAGGCGAAATACTGCTTCAATAGCAGTACTGAGCCTTAGTCAACATCACCTCTGATACAGTTTAAGATCCATTTGGCTGCCAGTACAGCTACCTTCGGTCCTTAGTGAATTAACCTGTAAATATATTTAATTTTGTTAATAAATAGCTAAATAAGGCTTAAATGTGGCACAAAACAGAAAAAATACAAAGATTAACAGAAAGTATGCATAGTGCAATGTCTCAAAAGACCTTACACCCACAAGGTAGAGGGGCCTACTCTATGTAAGAGAGAATAGACAACAGAGACATCGTCAAGATATAGTAGCATCAACTTTTCAGTTACATCTGCAATTTTACTTAAAATAAGTTTATCTAACTCACTAACTTTACAGATTCCTAAGTAAATGCTGTTGCAAAAACCCTCTTCATAGAAATGTTCTACTTATTTGAATTTGTCCAATTATGCACATTCCATTAAAAAATGAATGGATAATATTTTCTATAAGAACAATTGTTCCATCAGTTATTCTGCAGCAATGGTTAGGTTGTGAGGTTGTCATTTTCATACCGTTCACTTTTAAACATCTGTATTGTTCACCTGTATCTAAACAATTCAATACTGGACCCGATGTATACAGTGAAGTGTAAGTGGCCTCAAGGCCCATGATGGCATACCATTTGCAAAAGTAGACAACCCAAGGTATTTCCAATGGGGTATGTTCAATCTTTTTTAGTAGCCCCTTAGTCACAAACACTGGCCAAAATTGGTGTTCAAATTAGACACAAAAAATAGTAACGCTAAATCCCTATTTCTCCGGAATAAAATGATAAATAATAAGTGTGGGTGCACTTAACACGAAAGAGGTGAAGTACGGTTGAACAGACATATAGTCAAATTCCAAGTTTTGTTTACGTTTTATTTTGATTAAAACATGTACATTTGGCTCAGTTCTTCAGGGTAAATATTGCCGTTTTTAATAAAACGTGATTTGTTTTAGTGAGCTATTCCAGTTATTAATGTCATTTAATGGGAAATTTTAGATACCAAGGGTTTGTTAGGTGTACACATAAAGTTAAAAAGAGTCAAAGTTTTAAAACAAAGATTTTATTTATGAATTTATTTTAAGAAGTATAGGTGACTGCTTTGCAGCTTATTCAGCTATAGAGCTACTGAATGAGACAGTTTTCTCAGAAGGATTGCATGTTAAGCAAAATCTCAGCATATAAATGAGGAAAACTTAAATATTGCAAACTGTGCTACACTAATGTAATATTATGTTTAGTTACTCCTTGATTTCTATCCTCCCTGAACTCTATATCAGAACTCATGGTTCCCACTCAGCTCTCTTCACACAACCTCCAAGTGATTATAAAATGGCTGTCAGCACCATAGAAGGAAAAACTTACAGCAATGAGATGGAACGTCAGCCCCTCTGTCTGACCTCT